GATTTTACCTTCTTCTTCAAAAAGATTTTCGAACATATTAATTTTTTAAATTAATTACAGATTTTTATCGCAATCTTAAACTTTACCCGAAACTCAATCAAAATTTCATTATTAAAGTACTTATTACCTTAATTACTCTTTCAAGAATGATCCTTGGCTTAACTTTGTCTTAAACCTTATAATACAAAATTAATTTACCTATACCATATACGTCCAACATTAAAATAGTAAATATATTTCATATAAAACTACGGCACCTACCTAGGAAACTCAATGATGTAAGAAACTGATGCTCATGGTTATCTCCCAGGAACGAAGTAGGAATAAAAAAATACCATATATGTAGGTACATACGTGTAACATATATAAATATTTTGATAAATAATTTTTTTATTTAACAAAATATGAAAAGCGAAATTATTCCAATCAAAAAAGCCGATGAGTTATCAAATACTTTAATGCAGAGTGATAAGTAAAAATTTTTTGGTGCAAATAAAATGCCTATTTTTAGATAATTTGATAAACTTATCCCTTATCAAAAAATTACTTACTATTTATTTTTTTTCTCAAAAGAAAAAAATTACTTACAGTTTTTTTTTTGGTGCAACGCTAATCTGATAATCGAGTGCTTTTTAGTTTTGATAAGCTTATTGAATACTTACCATTTTCACTTTTGGCGCAACAAAAATTTTACAAATTTTTGAAGTTAAGTTGAAAAGTAGTAAGTGATAAGTGGTTAGTGCAATAGGGCCATACCACTCTTTTTACTTGGTTTGAAGAAATTTTAATTTAATAGCCACCAAAAATCTGATTTTCTGAATTAAATTCAAATTCGCATTTTTTTAAAGAGAGGGTAATTTTTAATTAAAACGAGAAAAAATGGAGCTGAACGTATTAACTCTGTGATACCCGTACGAATTTCTTATCCTATGTGCAAGTTAGGCATATCCCATAGCTGACTATGGGACAGACTATGACTTTAAGTTGCCATATTACCATATTAATATATGCAAAATTTTAGTACTGTGTTCTTTTTGTGTACAAAATTTCATGGATATGGCCAAACTACTGTTGAAGTTGTACGGCAGTTACCACAAAGAGTCAAGAAATCTGAACGATTTTTATAACACATAACAATAGTTATGATATACGAGTACTTGTTTTCACGAGATTTCCATACATAATTCCAATAATTTCTGAGATAATGCCAAATAACTTTTGGAGTTGTATGGCAGCTACCAGAAGGACTAAGTAATTTCAACGACTTTTATCAAACATATTGGCCCTGCTAATGTATTTGCTTGTGCGAAATTTCAATACCACAGCTTTTATAGTTTCTGAGACAGCCAAATAAATTTGGAAGTTATATGGCAGCTACTCGAACAATTACTTCGATCATAACCAATTTAAATAGGATTCTGGCATTTACTACAATAAATCATTTGTGAAAATTTTGTAAATTTAGCTCAATTAGTTTTTGAGTTATCGTTGGGACGAACGGAAAAACCATTATTTCTTCTACTCTTTTTCAAAATAAAGAATTTAAGGACAGAAAACTTATTAACTATTTAACAACTATTTGATTATACATAATGTCGCTTGCTATGTTTTTCCTACAAAGAGAAATATTAAACATCTAGTGAAGTACTTTCAAATATTAACTTGAAAAATATGTGGGTTCAAAATAGATTTTTAAGACTTTGAACAGTATTTTTTTAATTGCTACTTTTAAGTTTTATGTTCAATTTAAACACCTTGTTTGTATAGAACAAAATCTAAGGAATATTTTAAAGCAAATAATTGAAAAAACTATGAGATCGAGTATTAAACAATTGGTACTCGTATAGGTTCCTTTCTTTCAAAAATTCTATGGCTGTAATGGTAGATCTAGTTCAATTTCTATATTGAGTAAAGTTTCAGTTTTATCAGTATTGAAAACATCTGTAAAAAAATTCTCCCATTGTTGTTCAATCAAATTTAAGCTTTTTCCCTAATTTATTATTCTTTCTGTTTTAAATAATTAAATTTATTTCATTAAATTTGTTATAATACTTACATAATAATTTTTTTTTAATACAATTTTTAATAATTTCACATATTTATACATAATTTCATACATAAATGTATGTATGTATTTATTTTATAATTGTTTTTGTAAGGATGATTTCATAAATTTCTACATTAAATAGATAAAATCATAATCATATATAAATTTTTCAAAAGTTAGGTCCAGTTTAAAAGAGGTCAATTAGGTCCATGGACACACGTTATTCAAAATAATCATTTATGCAATTTATTATACGAAATTTATTTCGAAATATTTTATTTGGAAAATTTCGTAGTTATTATTTTTTTAAATTTTCAAATTATTTCAAAATATTCTTGAATGGGACATGGTTCTATTTCAGTTTTAATAAATTCATAGCTTATAGAAATTTTGGAAAACACATTTTTTTAACCAATATAATGATGAAACCGTGAAAGACTTTAAATGTAAAATTCTTTGAAATTGTTTTGTTTTTGTTTTCGTGAAGCTTTCCTGAATAGATCTACGTGTAGAGAATTAAGTGCTTAGAGAATACTTCTCTTAATATTAGACGGCACTATTATTTTTCACATATATGTTTAGTTCTTCACGTTTTTGGAAACTTTTCCAAATATTGATTTTAATTATTGGTTATTCTTTGATTTTATGCGATGAAAATTTGAAATATAATAGGTGGTTTCATATAAATTTGATTAATTCAAAGAACAATATTGCAATTTATTGTTCAGTTTGCTGATTAATGTTACAAAACACTCATAGTTTATTATCGTAATTTCAATTATTAGTCTTTCGACATATAATTGTAATCAATTTTTTGTGTTAATTAAAAATAAGTGGCTTGAAAGCGTTAATGTAAGTTTAAATTATGAAAGCGATATTTAATAACAAAAGGTCCGAATTGGATTGGAAAATACAAGAATAATGTAGAAATTTCGAATCACATTTGTTATACAAATATCATAAACGTACATATAGGTATGACTCAAAAGTATACATATATACCTACATATATAAGTATAAGTACAAACATACATTGTAATAAATAATTTATGTTTTTTAATATTTATTTTAATTGTAATTCGAATTTGTTTTTTCTTTTCTCTTTATTTAACAGCATTTTATTAACAATTTACAGAAAAAATTATTTTTATTTTATATAATTCTTTTAGATTTATTAATAACTTTTATCAATTTTTCGATATTTACGTATTTGGTTATCGAAATTCGGTCACATTTAATTTTATTTTAAAATTTTTGTTATTTTTTTTTAATTCCTTAAATTTTTAATTGAATAAAGTTTTTGTTTCATTTTACATTTTTCTATTCATAATAATTATGTATGTATGTATGTAGTGTGCTTAATAATATAATATTCATTTTTTTGTTTATTTTTATTATTAATTTTAATAAAGATTGAAGTTTTTATTAAGCAAAAGAGAAGCAGCACTTTTTAGGCACGATCTGGTTATAAAAAAGTTTTTTTTCGTGTATGTATATTTGAATATGTTAAAAGAAAAATTTATAATTCATGTGTTCTTGAACTTTAAAGAATCGTGTTACTATAATTAATTTAAAACTCTAAGAAAAACTTATACCCAAATGTACATATGTAAGTAATACCTTATAAACAATAGATTTTAAATTATCATTATTTAATAATCTATAAACATAGCTGAAGCATAGCTGAAATTATTTTTAGCAATTGGTTAATGTGAGCTAAATTACGATATTTGCCACATGACCAATATTTTTATGATTAAACTATTTTAAATTTTATATTAAACCAGGTATTCCATAGATTGATTTGAAATTATTGGGAACACAAGAAATATTTAATATGGGTAGTATATTTTATAAATTGGGTAAACATACTTTTGTTACTCATTTTGATCACATGAATTATATAAGTTAAAATTAAAAGTAAAATTGTTTTTATATTAAATAAAAATTTTTTAAGTATTGTGCATGAAATTAGAAAATTACATTATAAATTTATTTCAATATTTTTATATATATATGTATAAGCTCTTGACATTCAAGTAATACATAAAGTATTATCAAGCTGGCAACACTGACATAAAGTACATTCTAAGTTATTTTAACAATTCACAGAATAAAAATTATGAAGGAGATTAAAAATATTTAGCTGAAAAATTAAATCACAACAAAAAATTCAAATTTAATAAAATTAAAAAAAAACATTGAAAAACTTCTCAATTTCGGAACTTGAAGAAACCCTCTATTTATTCATGTTAAACAAGAGAGTCTTGAGACACATTCTAAAATTAGATATTAATGTCCAGTAAAATATCTTGTACTATTTTTTGAATAGTTTAAAATTTGTTAGGAATTAATTTAATAAGCAATTATTTAAACTATTAGTTTTAAAATGAAAGCTGGTACAATCTAAAATAATTTCCTGTTAAAAAATTTATGCTGAATTTTATGTTTAGAATTTACAATTTTTTGGTGTTCTAGAAAATTAAGTGAAATCTTATAAGGAATCAAAAAAGTTCGAACCTTATAAAATTATAAAAATGCTACTACACATGTTCCTTAAATACAAACACAAAATTTTATTTATTTTACGTTTGTCATTTTGTGCTTCAGAAAGACATACTGGAACATATACTGGAGCTTTCTGGATTAGGTTAGAAATAATTAAGGTTACCAAGTTCATAAAAGTTGCATAAAACCGTTCTATGTTGGCCAATTGAAATTTGTTCCGTGTTTAACAAAAATTAAAATAAAAAAAAATTAAAATAATTTTACATCGAAAACTGTTCTAGCTTTATTTTTCAATTTTTTATCTATTTTACAATTTGTTCATAAGTTTTTTTTTTACAATTTTTTTTTTTGAATTTGTTGAATTCATGTTTGATAAAACTCTAAATAATATTACAATTATAAATTATTAACAAAGATATTTTTATTTACTTTTAAAATTGCCTTTTAATCTAAAGAAATTAGAGTGAATTTTTGCATTTTTTTAAATTAATTTTTATATTTTATATAGTTTAACTTTATAATTATTAATTTATATGTATTTTAAAATTTTATACAAAGCAGACTATTTAAACTTAATTTAGAGTTCAAAATAATTAAAATGCATTAAATAATTGAAAAAGTTATAAACGAAAAATAATAATCTACAAAAAAAAAAAAAAAAAGAAATTTCTAATTTACGACTAATTTCAATATGCGGTTGCAGCACCGGGATGCATTAATGCATGATGATGGTGATGATGTCCAAAATGATTCAATGGATGATTCATTGTATCTGTTGTTGTTTGAGCAGCAGCAGCTGAATGATACCAATCAGCTGTTGTCGCTGGATGATGTTGTGACGGATGATATAACAAATGATGATTATGATGATGCCCACTTACTAAAGCAGAAACAGCAGCCGTGCTACCAGGTGATACTGATGCTGATGGCGATACATGTGGATGATGTGGATGATGGGGATGGTGATGTGGATGACTTGTTGCTGATAATGCTGGTGGCGGGCCTAATGGTGTATGCAAATACGACGAATGTAATAATGATGACGATGATGTTCCACCTGTTGTTGATGATATTGATGATGGTGATGATAATGATGCTGGTGATTTTGAGCTATTTGAATTATTATGTGATGTTGTTAAACCACCAACAGTACCACTTTGATTACTTAATAAATGATGATGGTGGTGGTGATGCGAATGATGTGGATGATGGTGATGATGATGTAATAAACTATTTTCTTGTTTAATTGATGATAATGGTGATGTTTTAAGAACATTCATATTACTATCATTATTGTTATTATTATTACTATTATTATTATTGTTGGTATTATTGCCGAGGCGTGATGATGCTGATGGGGGTGTCTGTGCCCCACCAGTTACAATGCTTGATGAACTTGATTCTTCCCCTTCACTATCATAACCATGATGTGTTGGAGATTTCTCATCCGTTGTACCGTGGACCTATAAAAACAATTTTGAAATTGAATATTAATAAAAAATATTAAATAAATATGTAGGTTAATGATTAAGCTAACAATAATGAATAAATAAGGTTCAAATAAGGTTCAAATTTTCAAAACAAATAAGAAAAAAAATTGGATCACACTAATGATTTTGCACAAAACCATTTTTCCGTTGAACAAGTGCATTGAAATACTGCTTTCAAATGCAATCTGCCAAAAAAAATCAAATCATTGTATACATTGCGGATGAGCAAAGGAAAAAATTTGAAGCGTAAACATAATTCGAAGGTACGATATATAATTATATTTTTTAATGGCATGGTATTTACCCTTAACTTTTATGGAGAAACTTGAAAAAAAACATATTTTACATAACGCCTATCTTCAACAGTCATTTAGCCATTTGAGAAGCCACAGTACTAATTTTTTACAAACAATTAGAAAAATGTTTTCGATTTCGAAACGGTAAACAGTAAAAAAATGACATTTTTAGAAGTTTGACGTGCTGTAACTTTTAGAGCGGGTAAATATAGGTAAAAATTCTCTTTTAAAGAAATAAGTTTCTAGCAAAGATCTGCTTGCATACAAAATTTCAGGTTTCTATCTGAAACTGTTTTTAAGTTTGTAAGTAGACAAACGGATGGAAGAACGACGGGCGGACGGAGCGAATGTTAAAAGTATAACTTTTAGTATTTACAGTTTACTTGTTGAAAAACTGCTAATTAATAGCAGTAACAATATCAAATAAAAAGGAGACTAATTTATAAAAGAAAAAGAAACAGAATATAAATTCAAAACCTTTGAAACAATTCAAATAATTTTGATGATTGAAGAGTAAATTGTATAACATGATCTGACATAATATGGGTAAATAAAAATAGCACAATAAAAAAACACTTACTTTCATATGCTTCCTTAATGATGATGGATGAGTGTATGATTTATCACAGCCATTAACACGACAATTATATGGTTTATCGGATGTGTGAACATGCGAGTGTTTCTTACGATCTGATGAATTTGCAAATCTTCGATCACAACCTTCATGTTCACATTTAAAAGGTTTTTCACCTGTAAATTTAATATAAAAATAAAATATTTTAATTAATAAAAAAGTTTTGTTGTTCTTTATTATAAGTTTGACTTTATATAGCTTACAAATTAAATTGAATTAATTAAGTTAATTATTGAAATAATATTCACCACTAAAAAAAAACAAAAAACCTTAGTTTTAAAATGGAGTTGAGCCCACCCAATTTGTTAATTATTATTTGTTTTTTTTTTCAATTTTTGCTTCGACCATTTTATTCTTAATATTATTAATACCAATCAATAAAGGTACACTAATCTACAACCATATATAAATTGAATTCTCATCACATTAGATTTTGTGAATAATTTTAGCCTTCTCAATAATATTCATAACGATATTCATAGCCATGAAGTATATGTATAATGTTCCTTATTTTGTAAAGAGAACTTTTGCAACTTGAGAAAAACAAAGACTTGTTATTCAAAAGTTATGTCTCAGTTTTTGGTGAAAAAAAAATTATGAGTTATCGTAAAATCATTAACGATGATACTAAGGTCCGAAATTTTCCGCCTACCTATCACATTCAAAGAAATTTATTTCAATTTTCGCATTTGATATTTTTTATTAAATATTTCAAAAAGACACCAGCAGATGGATAAAAATTCAAAGAATGTCCCTTGGGTATTGGTAAATCATCGTCACAATATAATGAACATGCATATACTTACTTAAAGCCAAATAATTTTATATACGAATGACAAGAGAAGAGAAGACCCAGAAGAAAAAGGCTCAGAATTATTAATAAATATTTCGAGGCGAAATTTAAAAAATGGATAAAACAATAAAAATAAAATTACTTTGCAGTCACACCAAAAAAGCAAAATTGAATATCCAAAATAACCAAATTCTGATTTGAAATAATAAGAAAAAGTAATAATTTTGGAAGTGATATCTCCTTATATTTCATCTTTAAATTTTTGGAACTTTGGTGGCCTATAAAATTCTTTTGTGGACAGGTATGTTATATCATCAGGTATAAATACAATTTCATTTGAAAATATTCTGGTATTTTAAAGGTATATAAAAATTCTTTTCGTTTTTACACTACCAAATCAACAAAGTACAGTGCTACGCTTTCAAATTCGTAACAAATTTTGCTATGCTAAATATACTTCTCGTAACCACCTTTTAAATATTATACTTTTGATAAAGTTTTCAGTCACGGAAATCAATCGTATAACCTCGAACTTATTTTTGATTTTAAAGAGAAATTTTTAGTAATGAATTGTATATTTGTAATTAATGAGCAAACTGAATTTTTACAAAATTGTTCTTCTTAGAAAATTAAAATTGTTCACAAGAACGATTCCCCTGATACTTGACTTTTTTCGTATTTACTCTTGAATCAATGCATGCAAGAATTATAAACCGAAATTTAAATCAAGGAAAGATCATAAATCAACTAATATAAATCGGAGTAAAAAGACGTGTTTGTTTCGAAAAAATGAAAACGTTTAACCCCTATTACAGTTTTTGAATAAATAAAAAATTTTTGCAGAATTACTTTGAGCAGAGTTATGCGTAATTTTCAGATTGTTGAATATTAAAAAGTAATTTGAACATAAAATTAACTTGAAAAAATTAATTTTTTACAAAACTATAGTGAACTGATGTAAGCGCACAGTATCAAATAAAGATATTAGTTACAGTTATAAAGTACTCCAAAATTCGAAACAAAGGTGGAACTTATAATTATAACCAAATCAGGCCTATATACAGTCCAATGAACGTAAAAAGTAAATAACTATTTGGTCAAAGATGAATTTCATTATGAGCCACTGTACATTTATAATATAAAAAAGGTAATAATAATGATTTATGACCGATTTACTTCCAAAGAATACAAGAGAAAAAAAAAGGAATAAAAAATAGCAATAATTCTTGAAAAAAAAAACTCAGACAATACCATATTCTTTGTATTATTTAGAAAACACATACATACAAATACACTGTGCTTGTATACATAAACGTTTTTTAAAAATTATTGTTTTCAAAAGCAAAAACAAAAATTAATATTTCACTTAAATATTTCTCTCCTTCGTGTAAAAATTGATTTATAAGTTTGAAAGTTATCGCCAATTAAGAACAGGAAAATTATGCAGTTAAATAAATATTTAAATAAGAGTTGTGAAAGAGATAGGAATTGTTTGGTAAAGAAGAATAGTGCTAGTTAAATAACAAGTGCACATTTATAGTAAACTATTTACCTGAAATTACTGACCGTCACTGATTAAATTCAGCAAAAAATTTTTTGTTATTGTTGAATAAGTTTCAGTGTCAAGTACAAGATTGATTGAATTTGTATTTGATAAAAACAAAAATATTTTAATGTTTTCGATATCCCGAATTTTATAGAAGTTAGTTGAATGAAAAATTTAAGAATCAAAAACTATTTTCAGTTTTCTTTTAAGATTGCCATGAAATTAAATAAATTTCTTTTTTCATTTTTTCAAATGTTGAAATCGTATGCCTTTATAAATTATAAAATCAAAGAATGCTTACAAACAATAGACATAAGTGTCATAGCAATAATAGGCATCAAAATTTAATTTAATCAGTACGCAAAGACATTTTGACATTAAAACCTTCTTGAAGCACTAATAACGTTCTGGAAATACAATTTACACAAGAAATAATGCAGAAAATCGGTGTGGAATAAATTAAGTTATTAGTTACAATAAAATAAAGTTATGTTAAATAATAAGACGAAAAAGGATTTTACCACAAAAATGGAAATTTCTACCAAGGTTTCAAAAATATGAGAATTATAAAACCATGTTATTCAAATTTCTAAGCGAGTGTTGACTAAATAAACTAAAAATAAAGGAATCTGAAATCGAATAAAGATCTAAAATGTTTGTACATATATACATACATACACATGTTACGTATAAAAAATTTTCTCCTTTTTCGGATATGTAATGCAAATACGAAACAAAAGAGGAAAACTGAAAAAAAAACTCATTTTTGGCAATTAGAAGCGAAAATAGATTAAAAAAATTTTTTATTTAAAAAAACTACGAAAGATTGCAAGCAACTACATAATAAGCAATTTATAATGCACACATATGTACATATGTATGTATATGGCGATGAAAATTGTTTTAAAACAAATAAAGGTAAGTAAAATTGATGTCTTTGAGAAAATTTCTACAATCTCTAAAAATTTTTATATTATTATTAAAATGTACAATACAAATTGATAAATTTAGAGTATACAGTGCAATTTAACTTATGGTCACCGTAACCTACATTTGTACCTCATTTGTAGTAATAAATATGGGAAGAAGTCTAGTTAAAATCGCTTAACATTTTTTTAATATCAAATGTACGAAAATTTATTAGGCATAACCAAACTGAACGGCTGCAATTTATAAAATTTACAAATTGTTGTTGGCAACTGCACGAATCAAAAATAATTTTTTTTTTGTCTTTATTTTCTTTAATTAGCACTTAATAAAAACCGAAACCTGATCAATATTTGGGGAATAAAAATTGTTTTATTCATTGGTTAACTTTTCTCAATAACAAAACAAAATTTTTTTTCTTTATGAACAAAATATTTTAATTCAAAGTCTCATCTTACATTCACAAAACATCAGAGAATATTTTAATCAGGAAATATTTTTATCCAACATCAAGATAAGACAAAAACTTTGTCATTTCATTTTTTCCCTGATATTTCATTCTATTTCATTCTATACGGTTGCATTCTTATGCAATTTGAAAAGCAAAGGGAATAGGGGGGATCAATGTAAATTTTAAGAACATATTTTTAAGGCGCCAATAATAAACTTTTTTTTTTTTCATTTCTCACTTGTCTTTAACAAATTATAATTTGGTAAATTCCTGTTTAATTTAATCGCTCAAATTTCTTTCAAAAAAATTTCATCTATTCTCGTCTTTCTCATAATATATGATATTCGAATTTTTGTCTTTTAAGTATTGGTTAATATTTTTGAAAATCGTTTCTTATCTTTACCTGAAATAAAGGAGTGTGAAAACGATTAAATAACATAAATTTAATAAATTCTAAACATACACACATAAAAAATGTGATTGAAATTAAACTCCTTTAAAGGGATTTTTTAGTCTTAGCTTTTATATAATCAGATTGCTTTTTAGGGAAACAAATGAATCAATAACAGTTGGTCTCGCTTACTATTTGAGGAATTTACTTAAATAACGTTTTTATTTTGAATAATTCTTTAACTTATTACATATTGGCAGATTATTTTGTCACGCTATTTTTACTCGATTTTATGCTTCAAAAATATTTCTTTAAAATTTTTATAATCACATGATTGAAAACCTCCCAATTCTCTTGTTGCAAAATTATTTCAATTCACTTCAAATAATTATTGATTTTAATATTTGACAAATTTTTTTCCCTTTACCTTAACAATAAGACACTTATATTCAGCAGTTTTCATTTACGTTTACAATAATATATAAGTATATAGATAACCCTAGCTTTAAAAATTGATCAACGCTATCTTATTTGTCCTACCTTATTGTTCCTAAATTCTTTCTAAATTAATTTTTCTCGCGAATTTCGTGGTAAATGTGTAGATAAATTACGTACAGCGACAGCCATACATATAATATGCAGATACATTTTAGAATTTGGCGATTCAACTAACTTATATAAAGATGATTTTAATCAAAAATGTTATGTCAAATAACGTTGAATCAGACCAGTGCTTGTGAAGTAGCACTTTTCTCTTGAATATTTTAAGATACTGGTTTTAAAAATAAGGTACTAATCTATTTAAATTATTTTCACTCATATAAATTTTTTTTCCATATTATTGCATACACATGGGATGACAAAAAAAAATTTAAAAAGCGTAACAATAATGATCGAATTCAATGGTCAAGTAAGTGGGTTAAGGTAAACAATTATATTTTTTGATGGATTGGCGTTTAACGTTAGAAAATATTGCTTTGTTAGATATATTTTGGAAAAGCTTGCAGT